GGTAGATCCTCAACATCTGTAGACAAGGCCTACTATATGTGCATTTTCTGTTACTATAACAAAATAGCAGAGGGGGTTGGGGAGATAGCTCAGTAGAAAAAGTGCTTGCCTGGCAAGCATGAGGGCCTGAGTTCAATCCCCTATTCCATCAAAAAAGAAAAAAGGAACAACAAAATAGCAGAGGATGCATAACTTTTAATGCAGAGAACTTTATTTAGCTCACAGCTCTAGAGGCTGGCAGTCCAAGGTTAGGTGTCCTACTGTTTGGGTTCTGATGAGGGCTTTGTGGTTGGCGTGCCTCACAAGGATGCACTGTGTGCAGGAAATCACGTGGCAAGAGAGCAACCGGAGAGGGAGTCCTGGGCCACTCTTAGGGGGTTTGAGCTTTTTGTAACAATTCACTTTGTGGCTACTAACCAAGTTCCTGTTGAACTACCTTAATGGTTTCCAACGCAGAGTCATTTGTGGCCTAATTCCCCCCACTAACTTCTGCTAGGCGGTTCCACTCTCAGAGGTTAACAGCCATGTAACTTCTAAACTGGTCCTCTAGATAGCAAGCCCCGCCCACCCACTTGAGCTTCAGTCTCGCGAATTCAGCATTTTCGTTAGGTATCTCTGTTCGGATGGATATCCGCGGGACATCCAAGCTCACCACTCCACTCAGCACCACATCTCCCGAACACGGCCTGCCGTGCTCCACTCTTGAAGGCAGCATCCGGAGCATGAAATAGCGCCCAAATCCAGAAAAGCGTCTTCGTGTATTATCAATCAATTCGTTTCCTAATCTCGGGGTTCTCACACCTGCGCCGAGCACCGCCCCCGTACAGCGCCATGGTGCAGGCCCAACCAGCAGCAGCCTGATTTACTGCAACGGCTTTAGGAGCTGGATCCCCACAGGGACTCCATCTTGTCTTGCTGACATTTATCTTCCACACGGTTGCCAGAATAAGCTATCAAAAACATAATTCTGCAGTCAATAAAAATGGCAAAAAACCTCCTACCATGTAAAGACATTCATGATTTATTGTTAAGCGGAGACCTGCAAGCGCCGAAGCAGTCTGTCGATGATGACCCCTTGGCTAGTTTTTTTAAATGTGTACATATGCACCCAAAAGCAAAATAAAGAACAAAAATAGTGAACTTTCTCCCAGTGGTAGATTATGAATGGTGTCATGTCTTGGACTTAATTTTCTAAGTTTTCTCCAATAAGCACGTACAGGGGGCCTGGCCCTAGCTCAGGCCTTTAAGTGGCTGCTTCCACAAAGCTGTCAGCCTCAGGTTGCTGGAGTTCGAACCTCACACCTCTCTCGCTGGCCAAAAGTGCCCTGAAGGCATTCGAGCAACAACAACAACAACAACAACAAAAAAATCCAATAAGCACATACTGTTCTGCAATAAGAAAATTTCTTAATTCATACGTTTGACAATGTCAATTTTTGTCTTGAAATCCTGAATTGGCACCATGCTGGCAAGGTAAGGTCCCAGCACCTCACATGGCAGGCAAGGCCTCCACAGGCCCTCCAAGCCCCCCACCTCTTCTCCCGTCCCAAGGCCCACCTCGCACATCAGGGGCACCGATGGTACTAGCCCAGCCCCAGAGGTTCTGATTCTGAAGCTGTGAGCTGGGCCTTCAAGGGTGCATTTCTAAGGACCTCCCAAGTGAGGCCACTGTGGCATTGTAGGGACACCTTCGTAAAAAAAAAAAAAGTCACTGTGTTAAAAGACACATCATATGAAATTATCATTTTAATAAGTGTACAATTGAGTGGCATTAAGTACATTCATAATGTTGTGCAACTTTTATCACCCTAAACTGTGCAACTTATGTTAAACAGAAACCATACATACATTAAACAATAATTACCTTTTTCCTCTCTCTCAGTTCACCTCTGGCACACCCTGTCTCTATGAATTTGCTTTCTCATACCACATTATGTCTATATCTGGCTTATTTAGCATAATGCTTTTGCCCAGGAACCTCCCTTTATCCACACTATAGCAGGCATCAAAATGGCACATGCTGGGTGATACTTCACTGTGTGTATTTGTGGATTTAGTGTATCACTTATGTACCAAGGAGTACTTGTGTTGTTTCCCCTTTCTGGCTACTGCGAGTGACACTGTGACAAGCACCAGAGTACACAAACCTGTTTGAGTCCCTGCTTTCTTTTGGCTGCACAGCTAGAGCTGGTGCTGCTGGATCACAGGGGAGGGCTGTTTAACTTAGGGAGGAACTGTCTTCTGGGACAACTGCACCACTTGACATTGCGTCACCATCAGGGTAATCATATTTCCACCTCTTCACCAACACTTGTTACTTTTTTCTTCCCTTAATGACAGCTACCACAGGGGGTGTGAAGTGTTATTTTGAATTTTCAATTCCCTAATAAAGTCATGAGAATTGCTGTGGCAACATGATCCTTGGGACTCGATATTGCTCCAACGCTGTCTATTACAGCTTGGTGCTTGCACTCTGCCAGTCTCTGCCTGGAATCATTGTGGGCTTTTAGCTTTCTAGCTTTTGTTCACACTTCGAGATCCGGCTTAATGATCAGATCCAGAAAGTCATTTTGGATGCTGCACAGTAGGAGATCTCAAGAGTAGTCTGAGGTTCTGTACTACCCACAGCTCTGGGAGGTGTTGTTCTATGAGGGAAGAGACTAAAGCACTGGACCAAAAGCAAGTGGTTTCATTGAAAATCTGTTAGAGAGCAACGGAATCCCAAGAGCACCTCCTCACCACAGCAGCCAGATGGGCATTATGAAGGTGGCTCTGCAGGCAAGCAAGCTCTCCAGTTGGCGCTTAGCTGACAGCCTCCTGCTGCCCTGCTTCAGGATTCGCTTCTGCTGTTCCTCAGCAGCCTCTTGCCAGTGGCTGAACACAACAGGAAAGCTGGCTACCTAGGCCCAGTGTGGGCTTCTCCAACAAAGTGGACCCTCCTGCTGAATTAACTGAGCCTTTGTCCTGACTGTATCCTAGGGTGAGACTCTGCTAACCCTTCTTCCTTTCTTTTCAAGGTTGTCAGATCTGTGGTGTAGCCCGAAAATTTCTCCTACTCAACTCTACACTGGCCCTTTCTTCTCATGGTATTTCTTCCTCCTCAACTGCCAACACTGTAACTGTCTCAGGCACTGCTTTCCAGAGGCTCCAGATGGCACAGCTGGTTCCAAGAGAGACATGACAAAGGAGCTGGGATGATGGGTTTGGAACTAGGCTTCTTGCCTGGCTGATTAAAGAGAATGCCAGGGGCTGTCTTGCCGCTCCCCTAGCCAAGATGACAAGTGAAAACCACAACTGACTCTTGAAGAAGATGAATATGATGTTGAGGATCTCAAGAAAGCAGAAGCGGTCCGCTGCCCCCTACCCACACCCCCCCCCCACCATCCTGGTAGAGACTAATCTGGTCCCTGCTGACACTGGGTAGACCCTGGAGAACAACAGCAGGCATGATGCCAGTTGAATCAAGTTGCAACCCCAATGGCTATGCTCACTCTGCATCTTCTTAGCTAGGGTGTGTTACTTCTGGAACACAGTATTCACGCTTTTATTTTTTTAAGGCAGGGTCTCACTATGTAGTGCAACTTGGCTTTGAAATCACTAATATAGCCCAGGCTGGCCTTGAACTCATAGCGCTCTTCCTGCTTCAGCTTCCTGAGGGCTGGGATGACAGATGTGCGTCACCACACCCCGCTGAGGCTTCAATTTGGTCAGTGTGTACTTTTCAATCAGGACAGATCAGAAAGTAGATGCAGTCACAGTTTCATCTCGGGCTATGTGAACTGGTTGTGTTTTGCTAGGAATCTAGGATCTGAGTATGCTGCACAATGTGACTAGAATCTACCACACTGAGGGCACCATGCTGATTCAGACAGGTTTAGCAAGAGGTAGGCAGACCTCCATGCCACCCAGACAAACCTCTAAGTGTGCTCCATGAATCCCTGGAGTTGAAGTGACACCCCACCGATTGCCAGACCCTCAGTATGAACCATCACTTACTATGGTCAGTCTAGCCACTGCCACCTGTGAGCATTCAGTCTGCTGGCAATAGAGGCAAACGTCAAAGCCCTAGGACAGGACTGTTGAGAAGAGAAAACCACAGTCTTCTCAATGGCGAAATGCCTCAATTCTCACAGAAGCCACTTTCTCCACGTGGAATACGGTGTCTGTGTGGTGTTGCCATTCTGCCTGAGAGCCCTTGCTAGCACGCTGTCCTGCCAGTCTGGCTCCCTCCCTCTCTTGTCTTTAAGAGACCTCTGCATCTGTCTCTGTAGGACATTAGAGGCACTTTTCTCCTCTTTCTCTCCAGGGAGAAACTGTCTGCAGGAACTGGGGATGCCGAGGGGGATGCCGGGCACTGTGGGAGGCCGGTATGAAATGTGCCTAAAGAGTATTCAGATTTTCTAAGGATCAGGAAACCTCCGTAATAAAAATCTGCATTCTTCACAGCAGGTCACTCAATTATTTTCTCCTCAGCCCAGATCTGGTCAGTTACTTTCTCATGTCACCTTAATATAAGTAGGACAAAGATCAAAAACACAGAATTTGGTATTTAAAAATTTTTTTCTACAGCAAAATAAAAACATTATTTTAAAAGCCACATTCTACATTAAATACATTAAAATACTGACAATTTTATAAATAAAATCATTTAAAACAGTAAACACATGATAAAAATTCTCTGGTACAGGTTATCTATAGGTCAACTACTGATTTTGACAGTATAAAAATTTTGCATACTGCTTTTTAAAAAATTATTTTAATTTTTTATTTTATTTACTTGGTACAGGGTCTTGCTATACAACTCAGACTCATAGTGATCCTCCTGTCTCAGCCTCCCCAGTGCCGAGATTATAGTTGTGCATCACTACACCTGGTTTTGGTGCCCAGCACTGTGCACCTGGGGCCTACATGGCATGTGGTACTAGGGATCAAATCTGGTCCTTGAGCTTGCCAGGCAGGAGCTCAGACCATTGAGCTATCTCCCCGGCCCTTCGTGATGCTTTTAAAAAGCATTTAACTTAAATTTTACAAAATATTAAAAAGTACTAGATACGCTTCATTTTATTCCATTTGAAGCAACTACAGCACATCTGACTAACGAAGGATGGATTAGGCCATGACACTCATCACATGCTGCTTAAAAGTGAAAACTTCACATGTGCTAGGTACTCAGAAAGGTGGGAAGCTGACAGAGTTGAGCACTGCACAAGGCTGTCATCAAGCCAGAGCCCCTACCTGCCTTGGCAGAACCAGGAGATCCCTCCCTGGCTCGCCTCTAGAGAAAGCCTTCCTACGCCTTGAGAAAGTCTTCCTATACCTCCAGAGAAAGCCTTCCTATGCCCTGAGTATGCCTTGAGAAAGCCTTCCTATGCCTCAAGAAAGTCTTCCCATGCCTCTAGAGAAAGCCTTCCTACACGCTGAGAAAGCCTTCCTTCACCTCCAGCGAAAGTCTTCCTATGCCTCTAGAAAAAGCCTTCCTATGCCTCTAGAGAAAGCCTTCCTATGCCCTGAGAAAGCCTTCCTATGCTTCTGCTCTCTCATTGCCAGAGAAGCTCGTGCCAACGGGAAAACTTGGCAATATGGAAATTCCCTTATGAAAGTTCCCAAAGTTGAGGCACTGCGCAAGTAAACTTAATACAAAAAAGTTATGATCTGATTCCAAATGCAAAGAAGGCACGTCCTTTGGTCACTTGATTGCATGTTGCCTGTTGAGGTAGGAAAATTGTCTTCTTTCTCTAAAAACTGCTGATTATATACATGGTGGTTGTACTGCAAAGGGTTCTAATGCCTTTTCTGCATTCTTCCAGTTGTGAAAATTCTCTCTGTACCACTCAACTGAAAGGGAAAACAAGACAAAAATTAAAAATGAAAAACTAAAAACCAATTGACCAACATTTACTAAATGGCTGCTACACAAGAAGTCTTGCCTATTAGCTTATCAGCAGATGATTTGATTTGTAACTTAAGAAGCTAAACATCTGGTTTTGAACAATGAAGTTAGTCCAAACACATTTTGTCACCCAAAACCTGAGAATTAAAACTTAACCTTTTTTTCTATTTAAGTTCAAAAGTCCCTCAATACTGAACCTGCTATTGAAGACATTGTAATTGGAGGGAATTTAAAGTGAAGTAGTTTAAATCTTTTACACTGGTTTTAAAAGTTATTTTATAGAAAATAATGTTTTATGTAAATTTCCACTTCATTTAACATGGGAATAGTATTTGAAAGGCACAATGAGATCATGAAACCTTCCTTTTATTAATTGGTAAAATTCTTTTCTATTGCTATACTATTAGCACAGAAGCTTTTTCAGTTAAAACCAAATAGTTTTATCTTTGATTTTGCCTTCTCAATTCAAGTATTCTGTATTCAAATTTGGAAACAAGATCTCTTCTCATGAATATCCTTCTAAGTACAGTAGAGCTTTTAACACACATGTGTGGACTTTGCATATATACGCAACATTTACATTATTTAGTAGGTTTTCCTGCACATGGTCAATTTGTTTCCTGGTGACTCAGGACACCCAAAGATTATAACTGTTTATATTCACCAAATCTAAGATGCCACTGATCTTAAGACGAACCACAATTTTATGTAAGAAAATCAGAAAGAAAAAAAAAGCTGGAATAAGTTTTTATTAAGAAAAAAGCTACAACCATTGTAAAACATCAGTTTTGGGTTTTTTTCTTGTTTTTTGTGGAACCAAGGATTGGACTCAGGCCCTTGCGCTTGCCAGGGAAGCGCTTATTCCAGTGAGCCATCTCCCCAGCCCCCATCAGTGATTTTATGACATGTACCTTACAAGGGAATGAAGAAAAGTAAAAAAATATTCATTTTAGAATCAATGAATTAGGTATTTGATGAATGCAAATAAGACATAGGAAGACTGATCAGAGATCATTTTATGAAATTTAAGATGCTTAAGAAATATAGTATAGTATTGTTGAAAATGTGCTAACTGTAGTAATTTCAAAAGGGCAAATATTTCTTCACAATTTTCTGCTTAGTCTGTATAGTACTCTAAAAATGAATTACTTTTTCTTCAACTATTACTGAATTGCCCCCCAAAAATTTATAACATACTTGTTTTCTTTATTCCTTCATTCCAAGGCACTTTAGGTTTCCATCCTAAACCATGAATTTTTTCTGACTTCATTGGGTACCTCAAGTCATTGGTAGGTCTTAGAAAACAAAATATTTAAAATAATATTGTTGATACATAATAACAAATTTAAGTATTAAGAGATATTATATATGTTCATGCATCTTTACCACAGTTCATGTTTTAAAAATCAAAATTCCCCTTAATCACATGCTTAAAATAGAAACTTTATGAAGTACATGGAAAAAAAAATCATGATTTTTCAACACTCTAAACACTTGAACCTCTCTGTAGTTTATCCTTTTTAAAAACTTTATTTCAGTCACACTTCATAAGTTTAGTAGTAGCACACCTGGGGAACTTGATAACTGTTTAACAAATAAAGAAATAAATACATATAAGTATATGTAACTTGGTACTCAAATGCCAGGCCCTGGGCCAGATAACTTAAACACATCATAATTAATCCTTAAAATACTCTCCTAAGTGTGGTGTTATCATCAGCCCTATTTCACAATGGAGAGACCTCATATTTGGAAAGGGTCAGTAACATCCTAGTTTAAGTTAGGTAGCTAGTAATAATCCTAAACTTGATCAGCATGACATTTATAATTGGGGAAAAAAATACTTTACTATAGAATTCAGAAGAGATAAACTAGTTTTCAGCCAGGCCTATATAATTTATAATTTTAGAAGTACCTAAGATTTTATAACCTTTCCCCAGTGTTTTAAGTTTTAACTTGTTACTCACCTATCGTTGACATAATCAACCCAGTCTTCCATTTCGGACTCTGAAGTGGTCTCTTTTATCTGTCAAAACAGAGAAGGTTTTTGAGTCAAATTAAAAAATAAGACCAGAGGATAACAATAGGAATTAACAGCTGATTGTAGAAAGACATAAGAAACAACGGTCTCAAAGCAGAAAACAGCAAAAACACTGTAATTCCATTTAAAGCTCGAAAACAATACATATATAAACTATGAGGGAAAATGACCTGATTGCTACTCAGTTCAGCTTCCTCTCAGCCTTAACTTTATAAAGTGAGGTTTCCCTAAAACATGTACACTCATAATTATTTTATTTGGCACTGTGTTTTGATTCTAAGCATACAATTTTGTCTTTGTGAAACTAAGCTGTGTCTTTCAACTAGGGCATGCCCCAGTGGTGGCAAACCTACAGCACATGTGTTTTCTTTTAAGACAAAAGAAGGTATGAGTATGAGTTACTTGTTCAAACTGAAACCTCAGTACTAAGGTTTAATTGCAGTGTTGGTACTTTGGGATAAATACATGGATTTGGGGTTGCAATTTGGACAGTCGTCTCTAAATGGCTTAGCACCACTGGTATCTATAAATTAATGAATTGTTTTTGTTTCTTTTCCTGAAAAGCTGTTACCAAAGGAGTGATACAACTTCAAATGACACATATTGTACACACAATAATGAATTACATTTTACATTTGCTCTCTTTTAAACTGTAAACTATTGACACTGTCACTTAATTTAGTGACAACTATATAAATACTATTTTTTTCAACAGATACATTACCAGTTGTATTAGTTCTTTGGCAAGCTGGACAATTGACATTTCAAAATTGGTTCCGATGTTATAAATTTCACCTGGTTTTCCTTTTTTGAGGACAGTGAGAAATGCTTCTACGACATCAGCGGCATAAAGGAAATTTCTTGTTTGAAGCCCTGATCCATGAATGCAGCTAAACAGATTAAATGAAATGAAATCATAAAGTGTACAAAAGCTTTCCCACACCAAAATAAATCAATGGCTGGGTACAGTTCCAGAGAACGCAGTTCCCACAGGGAGCCTAGAAACCTTTTATTGAAGACACAAATTCTCACAGCTTTCCTTAGCTTTACCCTTAGTTTGTAAATGATGTCTAAACCTCCTACAGATATTCCATAAGAGAATGGCAAACACAAAACCCTGTGAAATACTTATCAACTTGATACCATAAATTCATTTTGAAAAAAATCTCATTCTATGAATTAAATGTATCATTTGAAAAAGTAAAATTATATAAAGATGAAAGTAAAATTATGTATAAAACTTTAATACTACTACTCCAAGTTCTATGATAGACCATTGAACTGAAATCTTCTTAGTAAATTATAAAGATGAGATAAATTACAGATTTTAAATAGCCTCAAAAGCGATTATATTTCATGGAGAAAGGATTCTTAAATTTGATAAGACATTCAAGGCTTCCAACACAAAGACTATGATTCAAGAAAGATGTTATCAAACATGATCAATATACCAGAAAAGCATAGGGGAACAAAGGTCAATAATAACATACCATTTCCTGTTGTGTTGTAGTAAAGATATAAATTTTGGAATAACCTAAAAGAATATTCAAATATCATTTCAGACTTTGGAAATTCATTCATTAATATGAACCTAAACTATTTAAGAAACACATATGGATAAATTCTAATTCTTCTTACCTGGAATTCATGAAAAATAACCTTATATTTAATAAGCTAAAAAAACAACTAGATAAGTTTGTTGTTTCATAAAAACCAGTTATCTAAAATAAAAGAACGTTAACAGTGGAAAAATGAAAAGAAAATATTCATGGACAGTTTGTGGTTGTCAAAGTTCAGCTCAGTGTTGATTTCTTAAGGGCAGGAATGACACCATATATACAAGCATTCACTCAAAAAGTGCTTGTGTAACTTAGAAAATGTAAATTCTAGTGCTCTTGAATTCAAAGAAAACTTCTGTTAAATGAGGCGAGAAAGAAATTACTAAGTTTATGTTAAACTTCATAAGGCTATTTCAGAAATGAAGCGCTGTGGGTATTAATGCCACACACCAAACAAATGAGAGCAAACAGCTTACCAGCTGTGGGAAAACCCAGTCTCCAGATTTAGGCTGAGCAGGTAACAGATATGAAAATCCAGCCAGTTATACATTTGCAGCTATGGAACTGTGTTTCTTTATTCTCTACTTATATTATGTGTGAAAAACATTCACGCTCACAAAACCAAAGATGAAGTAGGAAGTTGTTAGCAAGCTGACACTACGACCCCCTCATTGCATTATCACCTAACCAGCTCTTCACTTCTGTGCATCGGTCTGTCTGCAAGCTAGAGTCTAACCTGCAGCGTGGCTGCAGGGGTCAATACTCTAGTGCTTTAGAGGCCTAGAAGGCTCAAGCATTTTCACATATAGCATTCCACTAGATCCTCAAAATCCCTTCTGAGTATTTTCATTATCTCCCAACTTTAAGACAAGTTCAAAGTCTTGTCAGCTGGTGAGCATCGAGTTGAAACTTAAACTCAAGTCCAATGAGATTTGCTTAGGTCCTCCTCAGAATACGTGATTGTGCATAATTACTACACACATTTCTTTACACAAATAACTTATGAGATTGTCTTAAAAAACAACAAGTTCCAAGCACTAAAAAAAAGCCTCTATGAATTCAGAAGTAAAATTTACCTTTTCTGGATACTGATGTGGCCCATAAACATTGCTGCTTCTTGTGATGACAACTGGAAACTTAAAAAGAGTATTCAACATTCAGGGAATGGAGAACGCCAACACTAACGATTACATTAAGAACATGCAGTTTTAAAATATAGCTGCCTTTACCTAAATAATTCCACACATCTAAGGACAGAGTGGAAAGACCTTTTGTATGCAAAGTTTCTAAAAAGACAGAAGAGGCCGGGGTTCAGATAAAGGCAGATGATCCAAAAGGAAGAAGGGGACTGCTCCCTGTACTGAGCAAAAGGAAGAGTGAATGCACGTGGAGGCTGAGCCCTCAGCGCACAGTGCTGGGGACCTTTCCGCCTGCTCATTTCAAGACCACCTCTAACCTCTTCATTTTGATTAGAGGTGAACTTCAAGTCAGCTCTCTCGGTTGTAACCACTCGTACAAGGACCAGTGCCACCGCATCATTAAAGGTAAAGAATCTTGAGGAATTCCTTGACTTGACTTTCTGACTTGTCCCTAATAACTCAAAAGATCAGCAGGACACCAAGTTGGTGATTGAGCTGACTCCTATTGGGTAAGGCTTCTGCAGCGACACTGCCACAGCTCCCATGGCCACGTCTACCTCTCAGTCCTGAGGAGCCAAGAGAGCCTGCCATGCAGAGAGAAGCACATGGCAGGAGGGGAGGTCCTCCCTGTGTTGCTCTCCTCAGAGGATTCCAACAGGGCTTTTCACTGTAGCCACAAAACTCTACCCATAACTGAAACAGGAAAAAAGTATATATTCCAATATTCCTTTATGATGAACACAAAGAGCTTAAATTCTTTGTTGTCCAAATGTAGCAGAAAATGGCACACTTCAGTTGCCCAGGTAACAGCTTTTGTTACAGCTCCTGGTACTACTGTCTCCTAGAAATGGCCGGTCACTGTGATGCATAGCTGGTCACCAGGGTGCACAGCGTAAGAACCAATCAACGACAGCCAAATACACTGCTTCCGTACTTCCTGCTTGCTTATTCCTCGAAAGGCCCAAACTACCAAGCATTCAGGCTTGATATTTTGGAAACGATCCCAATCAGTGCCCTTGACATAAAGTAAATCTGCCACCAAATCCTGGGGGCCATTTTGGTGTTTCTGCTTACTACTGTACACACAATGTAATAAATCAGTACTTAAATTTATCAATATTTAACTTTTCTCACACTGCACCTTTTATCCTAAAAATGAAATTCTACTAAAGCTGATTTAGAATTTAACACTTCAGTAGAAGGTAAAAGATTCAAGAGTTTCGAAAATCAGTTTGTACCTTGTACCGTTCCCAGTAGGACTGTACAAAACATTCCGCAGCTGCTTTAGATGACGCATAAGGATTTGTAGGTTGTTTGGGGGATGATTCATCAAATTCCTAATTGTAGAAAGACATATGTGAAAAGTAAGTACTATATATGTTTTCTAAGGAGAAACCATATTACAAATTTACATGCCAATCACTACATTTAAAGAAAGACATTATTGGAACCGTGTACGTGCCTGGCATTTTCCCAGTTGCCACTGCTAAGGTTTTTTTTAATGTTCATAAAAACCCCATAAGGCAGAAGAGACAGCAAACACAAATGTCCTGAGACAGACATGGAGCCAAAGGCACTGCAGGGAGGCCAGTGTGTAGGGAGAGATGTGGGAGATGAGGCCACAAGGCTGGTGAAGGCCTGGATACGTGACAGTGATGGCCCTGCAAAAGCACTGGCAGGCTTTGAGGAGAGTAACAGCAAACTCCTATTTTAAAAATCTCTGGCTGCTGTGTCAGACCTGATGCTGAGGGGAAAGGGTAGAAGAAAAAATAAGTTTACCTATAAAAGGTGCAGAAAGTTGAAAGTGGTTGCTTCTCAGAAGTAGGATGGGGGATTGAAATGCAGTCAGGGTTAGCTTTTTCTTATTACAAGTCTTTTTAAATTTTCTTTTTCAGTATGTAAGTTTTAGCAATATGAAAAAAAAAAACTTAGTAAAGTTGAAACAAAATGAAATCCCTGTAAACACTGACTATAAAAAATATGGATTTCTGCTCAGGGATGCCACTGAGGAATCACCAGGAACCTCCCATTTCTTGCTGCTGCCATTTCTAAACCAGTCTCTTGGCAACAGGGCTGAGGAAAAGGGCTGTGGAAATGCTTCCTCGGAGGGCTGAGCTCTGCAAACAGGGTGGGCCGAGGACCCATGGAATGTGTGGAAATGAGGAGCCCCAATGCCATGAGAGGGGGCTTTGTGTCATTTAGGCCACTGAGAAGAATGTGGATGCAGCCACAAGAGTAAGGATGCACACGGCAGGTGGAAGGGCTCAAGAGCCACAGAAAGCTGTCTCTGTGGGTACTACTCTCCAAGGGTAGACAGCCACTCAGCTGTGGAAAAAGCTTCACTGGCAACATTAAAGAAGAAACTGCAGAACATCAACTAGGAGAGCACTGTGAACATGTGGGAAAAGTGATGTGACTGAAATCACAAGTGACAGTAGTAAGAAGAGGGGCTTAGCTTTTATAACCTTTGACAAGCTTCACTCTTCGGACAGCCCTGGTGCTGAGAACTTCCATCCTGTGGGAGGCCACAGGGAAGCAAGGGAATCCCTGGTGAAGTGAAAGATGGCTAGCGCTTGGCAGGCCACAGAAGTCAAAGTGATTCTACGACTGATGGGGGCTACAGAGGTAGTCTGGGTGGCAATAAAAAGCTTTTTATTTTTGTGACAGGGTCGTGCTATACATTTCCAGCTGCCTTGAACTCATGGCACTTCTCCTGCCTCAGCCTCCTGAGTGCTAGGATTATAGGTGTGCACGACCACACCCAGCAATAACAACTTTGATTTTTTTTTCCAGAACTGGGGATTGAACTCAGGCCAGGCAAGCACTTACTCTACTGAGCTATCTCCCTGGGCCCCAGCAATAACAACTTTGATCACGGAAGAAACTTCAGTGTTTATGGTAGCGGTGATGGCAGTCATGGTGTATATGGTGGCTATGGGGGTTGGGTTAGTGTACTGGATTTTTTTTTTTTTTTTTTTTTAGTGCACTGGATTTGGTAAAGATAGAAGCAAATAAGGAGGTAATGAAAGCTGTAATTATTTTTATAATTACAACGACCAATCTTCAAATTTAGACCTATAAGAGGAGAAAACTGGAAGCAAACACTGTAGCCCCTGTGGTGAAGGCCAGCACTGCCAAACTAAGAAACCAAGGGGACTGTGGCAGTTCCAGCAGCTACAGCGGCAATGGCACTGACAGGTTTTTAACACTGCCAGGAAATAAAGGTGGGAAAGAGTCACAAAAGTGACAGGAAAGCAACAGATGATAGCAGTGGCCTGAGTGACAAACCCATCTGCTGCTGAATGTTGCCATGTGTAAGAACAAAGAAACTTAAGGACTGTATTTGCAAGCAAGCAAGTACGTAACAGGTCATTTTAGTATCTGTTCTGTGGAAAGCGTAATGCATCTCAACAGAGTTTTAAAGTAGATATTTCGCTTTCTGTAACCATGCTGTCAATTGCTAAATCCAACAGCTTACTCACGAGGCTCAGTAACTCTGAGTGTTTAAAATGTGCCGTGCACAGTGTGTCTACCCTAAAGCCACTGCGCCAATATTCCCCAGTGGTGTGAAGTAAGAATTCCTTGGGGGATGGCAGGCTCCACTTGCAACTTAGTTACACTTGCATGCAGCAGCCATGTTCCCGAAATCTTGGTGTCACTGAACTGCTCTAAAAGAAAGAGCCCCCCACGCAAAGTTGCAGAGCTACTGCGTCATAAAAATGACTGTTAGGACGTCCTAAGCCATATCTCTAAACTGAACACGGGTGTGAATGAAGCTGGCGTATCATGCACTGTCATGTACCATCAACAAATGACTTACTTCTCTTCACTGGAATGACAGTGTAGGGCCATGACGGGAGATCTAGGTTTGCCCTGCCTACTGCTCCCAATAACCTTGAATGTGTCTACCACACTGCAAATTCGAAGCGCTACCAGTGACAGGAGCCAATCACTGGGTAATGCCGCCTCGAGTCCACAGATTACAAATGTCTGAGAGAATGTTTTAAAACAAATGGCAGTAAAAATTATAATTAACATAAGAATTAGCTTACATTAAGAGAAAAGTGCACGCTGACTAGATGATGATTAGGTGGATCTTATAGGACAAACACAGTGGCTATTTGGAGATTGAGACTATAGCAACATGAGCAACCACATTCTTTTCTTTTAGAAAGTCATATAAGCTGCAGATTTCTTTTAAATATGACTCAAGTCTGGCAAGCACGAGACACAGGTTCGATCACGGTACCACATGCTGTGCTGGCCCTGTGCCAAGCCAACCACCAAGACTGGGCATGATGGAGCATGCCTGTAATACCAGCACTGGGGAGGCTGAAACAGGAGGATCACTATGAGTCTGAGCTGTATAGTGAGACCTGTACCAAATAAATTTTTAAAAAATTTTTTAAAATTAATAAATGACTCAAGATCAGACAACAATCATCAAGTGTTAACTGTATAGAAAATACCCTCTGTTAATAACTCTTAACAGAGGGCTGAGAAGATAGCTCAGTAGAATAAGCCCTTGCCTGGCAAGCACAAGGGCCTGAGTTCAATCCCTGGTTCTGCCAAAAAAAAAAAAAAAACAAAAAAACAACTTCTTAACAGTTAATATCCAATGATGAGTAGACGTGCATAGGTTCTTCTGAGCTTTCCCTTCAGCACCCTCTTGGTTTCAGTGTCATCGTACTGAGTAGCACAGATACTTAGCAATGTACGTTTGTGCTAAAGAAGAAAACTATGAACTGGTGAATGGAGTCATCCTTTGTGTAAAAAGTATATTTGGGAATAATTTTTTTTTAAAGAATAGAGTCCAGTTTCTACAATAATTCCACTCTTACTTCCTGGCATTCGAAGGAGCAGAACATGATTTGCTGGCTGGAAGGGCAAGGCAAGCAGGAATGCTGCAGCCTGTTGTGCCTCCTTTCATCTGTGAGGGTGCATTCAGCACGTCTGTAAGCCTGAAGCAAAAGGTACGATCTGTTTTGTCTTGCAGTCAGACTGTGACCACTTCTCTACCAAGACCAGGCTGTTTTGCATGTGGGGTAGCATCATTTGCTTTGAACACGGACATAGTGAAATATAGTATGAAAAAACTCAACTGAAGGTTAATGAGACAGATTTGGATCTTGGTGCATACTAAATAGACAGAACACATATTTTCTAAGCTTACCTTACCGAGACTTCCTCCATATACTTCGTCTGTGCTGACATAAATAAATTTTTCCACGCTGGCTTCATGAGCGGCACTTACCAACACGTGAGTACCGTAAACATTAACATATGTGAACTCAAAGGCACGCACAAATGAAAGATCTAGGAAAAGAGAGAAAAGCTACAACAGTTGCATCCAAGACACAAAACAAACGTGCAACAATGCTCTCGGTTGCTAAAATAGTACCATTTACTCCTCTCCCCTCGCCATGACTGCTGTCCTATGAGAGATAACATACGCACGCACTGATTCATGTGAGTTCTACAATGATTTCCTATATCACGTAGCACTGGGCTGCTTAGGACCTGAAAAGCTGTCAGTGCTTAATTTGTCCTATAAAAAGAAGAAAATACAAAATGCTCTTTAAAAGAAAAGGAAACTTTCAATTTCTGCTATTTTAGCATTGTATTTTTCAGATCCATTTCTTATTAATTAAAACAATTGAAGCTGGGTAAATACCTTTAAAATAAATCTACATTAAAGAATTGAGGGGCCACGGAGATAGCTCAGTAGTATAAAGCTTACTTGGCAAGCGCAAGGGCCTAAGTTCAATCCCCAGTTCTGAAGAAAAAAAAAAAAAAAAAAGAAAGAAAGAAAGAAAGAAAGAAAGAAAGAAAGAAAGAATGAATTGAACCTTTGTGGCCAAAGATTGGGGGATTTTACTATGACTCATAATCCAGAAGTAGTAAGGGAAGACATTGATAAATATGATTATATAAAAATTTTTGCATGGTTGAAAACTGACATCACCTAACATATATGAGTATTGTTGTATGAAATAGTAATGCTCACTATACAAAATAACACAATACTCACTGAACAAAATATTTTGAATAGTCAAAATACAAACTTAAAAAGAAAATAAAAAATAAATAAACTTCAAATTTTTAAATAAAAGTTAGGAATAAATAAATGAAGCTGAAATGTTTCTGTGCAGGAAGGGGCAATGGATCTGATACATTTTATTTTGATAAGCCAACTGCACGGGTAATCCCTAGGTAGGCATCTCAAGAATTCAAATAGAATATATATCTTCCAAACTAACAGAGGGAAAAAAGTCTTTCAGGCAGGTCCTTAGACAAACCAAGTAAGAGGGTAAATGTCAAGGGTGGCCAGAACAGATTAAAAATAAACTCCAAATACATGTGGCTTATAAGAAATGCAGCTGGACTGTAAAGCTAGAGAAAGGGAGGGACATTAAAACACAGAGCAAGACACACAACTGTGGGAAGTGACACAACCGTATTAATAGCACACCAGACTTCAAAGCAGTATATATCACCAGGACAGATGGGTCACGTCATAAAAATAAAGTATCATTCACAAGAAATATCCTGGAGACGGCCGCTTTTCATTTTTCTTATTGTAACATGTTTTTCAATGAGAAAAGTAAATAATCCAATTTAAAAACAGACCAAGATTCCAACAGTATCTCACAAAAAACCCCAAGTTACCAAAACATATATATGAAAGTACTCAATCTTATTAGGAATCAGGGAAAAAATAGAAATGAAACATGTAAATAAGAGACTATTCCACAGTGCTGAGTTTGGTAAAACTAGAAAAATGTGCCAAAATTTAGAGCAACGCAAAGTCATATATTGCTTGAGGAGTGGAAAATAAGGATACTTTAGAAAATGGCTTGATGTCTTATTAATGTTGATATATGCAAATCTTATGCTATTTATGCAGCAGAGAGTAGCAGACTCATGTGTGATACGATGACACATGCCTAAGAATGCCCCCAGTTGTACTGTTCAGAATTGTCCAAAAAATATAAATAACCCAAATGTCCATCAGGAGTAAAATATATAAGTAAACTCTGGGATAATTTTAAATTCAAATATAGTATAGTACTGAAAAAAAAAAAAACAAATTACATGCACATTGTTTTATTCGACGGTCTTGCCTGGCATTTTTGTTCCTACTGACAAAGTCCAGCAACGGGTTGAACGAGTAGGTATCTAACATCCATCTCTGAAAGAGGACACAGACGCCACAGCAGACAAACAAGGCTACAGTCACTGTGCCATGGCCATGCTTGGCGTGGTGTGGCCTGTTATAGAACCTTGAATGTATCTTAAAAGTCTGAACTGACCCCAAATCAGAATAGTGATTACTTCTGAGGGGAAGGAATGAGGAGACCGGTCTTCAGGTGTAGCTTTTGCACTGTTTTTCTTCTTTTTTTTTTTTAAACATTTATTTATTTATTTATTTATTTATTTATTTATTTGTATTTTATGGAAGAGTCTACAGGGTGTTCAGGGTCTCATTACTAGATTGGACTTGAAGTGAT